TCCCGGGGCAGCTGCACACATCTCAGCCCTAAGCACCTGCAGTCCCGGGGGTTGCAGCACAGGGGTCACGTGTGGGTGACACAGCAGATAATGACCCCCCCATGCCCTCCCTGCTGGGCTAGGCCCCGTTCCTGGGGTGCTGGGGGGTCCTCAGTGACTGCCAGCACCCGCCCCTTAGCCCCCAGCAGCCCCAGCAAGGACCAGGCTGCCAGGCTGCCACCAAAACTGTCCTTGGCCACAGCGAGCTGTCATGGGGAGCTGTCCAGCCTCCCACCAAGCCCTGCTCCCCGCCAGAGCCACAGACAGACACAGACCCTGTGAAATAGCCTCGTGTTTCCTACAAGCTCCGGGCGAGCTCGGTCTCCAGTTCACAGCACTGCCCAGGCCAGGGCTCCCGGCACCCCCTGCACTGCCCCACGGGTCAGGGGGAGCCCAGCAGGGCCCCTGCCCCCAGAGGCCGGGTGGGCACCCTCCTGGGCACCAAGCAGAGCCCAGCCCGTGCTCTCCATGCCCAGGCAGCGTCCAGCAGCTTCTGCACAGTCCTGCCACAGTAGTTTGCTTCTGAAATCTATCTGAGAACACGGGACTAATAAATTAGACAGCAGCAGCCTTGGCAAGCCTGGAACCTCCTGCCCAGCACCCGCCTGCCCGGGCGCGCTGGCCCAGCTCTGCCGGCCGCACCGGTGCTGCTCCCACGCTGCTCCTCTCCCCACTGGGAGATGCTACCCCAGGTGGATGCGGAATGTAGAGATTTCCATGGGGTCCAGATGGATGTTGGTGCTGTTGGAGGCCGTGCCCAGTGGGTACATCAAGGTCAGTGAGGTGGGCTGCAGGGAGCCCAGCTCCAGCCCCCGGAACAGGCTGCCCAGGGCCAGCTGGGGAGAGAGGAGAGATGGGAGAGGGGCGGGCAGTGAGTGGGACATGGTGCAGTGGGACTCAACCAGCCACCAGTTCTGGGGTGCTGGTGCTGGGGGACCTGCGGCCCCTCCAGACTCCATCCCTGCTAAGCATGAGCAGGCACCAGGCATGCTGGGGCCCCCAGCCTGGCTCTGATCTGGCGCTGGGTGCAGGTGGCAGTCTGATCCTACCTTGCCCTGGCTGGTGGTGCAGTTAAACCCCAGGTTCTTGGCCTCCAGGCTGCAGTCAAAGCCTTTGCGGTGCAGGATTAGGGCTGCCTCGGCTGAGGGCAGCGAGTCATCCTGCTGGGGAGCCCGGGTGTGAGGGGCAAGGCTGGGGACAGGCCCAGGGGTCCCGCTGCCCCCTGCACAGCTCACCTCAGCTTGCAGCGTCCGCAGGTTCAGGATGTGGAAGTCACAGGGGAGAGTGTTGGAAAGGGGCACAAAGGAGCGCAGGGCTGGTGGGACCAGCTTCTCCTGGGCCACTGGCATGACCAGGGCCTCAGCGTTCAGGTGCATGGAGGTGATGTGGCTCAGCAGGGAGGGGAAGCTGATGGGGCGGCTGTCCTGTACCTGCCGGGGAGCAGGAGAGTCAGTGAGAGCTGTGGTGGCCCACGGGACCTCCCATCCTTGCAGCCCCTCCAGCAGCACCCAGAGAACAGGCACCTGCCAGCATAGGGCTCCCAAAGACCCCCTGCCCAGGTGTGACCCCTCCCCATCACACACAGAGGGAGGGTGTCTGCCAGTGGGCAGCCCAGCTAGCCCACGGTCAGACAGCAGGGCCTGGCTAGGCTAGTGGCTAGCAGCTACTGCACGAGACAGGGAGAGACAGCAGGGCCAGGCCGGCCGTTACCTCTGGGCTGCCAGTCTTGGCTCCAGGGAAGCCCAAGGCTTTTAACATGGAGGTCAGTTTGGAAAAGAAGCCGGAGCTCTGAATGGGTGACACGGCGCATGCAGCGAGGGGACGGGACAAGAACATGGTAATTACAAGGGCAACGTGGCTCCATGGGGACAGACCCTGCTCCACAATCCCACCCTGCCTGGGGACCCTGCTCCATGTATTCACAGAGTTGTTTGGGTGGGAAGGGACCACTGAAGATCATCTAGTCCAACCCCCCTACTAGAGCAGGATCACCTCCAGGCACGGCAGGAGACCCTGCACCCAGCAGCCCCCGTTTGGACATGGAGCCTTGGTGCTGCTCGGCACACGGCAGGGCTGGGCTCGGGGGGGGGCCGCAGGGGGCGC